TTTGAAGGGTGGATATATTTCCGTGATTCTCGAGTTAATAGTTTACTCGCCAAAATTTTCACGACGCCGTAAGTGATACTCAAGAGAGCGGGATTGCTGGACTTGAATGGACAAGGTTGAGCGTGAGCAAAGGGGTCATTACACTTGAATTTCAGCCTCCTAGACTCCGTGATCCCGAGATATTAACTTGCCCGTAAAAAATTTCCACGGAGCCGTACATGTTACCCACGGGTACAGGAAGGCTGAATTTGAATGGGTAAGGTTGAGCGTGGGCAGGGGGTCATTACTCTAAAATTTCAGCCTTCTAGACTCCATGGTTCCCAAGATCTTAATTTACCCTTAAAAAACTTTCACGAGGCCGTACGTGTTACTCGCGGGTACGGGGAAGCTAAATTTAAATTTGCGGAGACGTGGGTGGGGAACGTTCCCTTAAATTTTCAGCTTCCTAGCTTTTGTGGTTCCCGAGTTGAAAGTTGGGGTCACACGTGGGTGGGTAACGTTTCCCTAAATTTTCAGCTTCCTAGCTTTTGTGGTTCCCGAGTTGAAAGTTGCAGGTGGGGAACGTTCCCCTAAATTTTCAGCTTCCTAGCTTTTGTGGTTCCCGAGTTGAAAGTTGCGGTGGGGAACGTTACCCTAAATTTTCAGCTTCCTAGCTTTTGTGGTTCCCGAGTTGAAAGTTGCGGACAGTCACACGTGGGTGGGGAACATTACCCTAAATTTTCAGCTTCCTAGCTTTTGTGGTTCTCGAGTTGAAAGTTGCGGACATTGCGGACACACACACACACACAGACAACCCCGTGACAATATGTGTTTTGTACTGCTGTTACACAGCACAAAACGCATAAAAATGCATTTCGCACCGGTCTCAATTTATTTTTCCTCAAAGCGACCTTTTCCCCAGTCTTAATTTTGTCGAGCTAGAAGAAATTTTTTCAGTTCTTGCGAAGTAATTTTGTGCAGAGTTCTTGCTTAACAAGTTGACTTCCATATGGACTAGTTGAATATATCAGCCACGTGTTCGTTTCCCCTAAGTCCAAGTGCAGCCCTCACTGGGCATCCAGGAGACATGCGTACTCTGACAGCTCGTAAGTGCGTTGTTGAGTTCGCGATTTGTGCGTGAATTTTTCTTACTCGTGAAGAAAACAGATCTGACGAGCAAAACTGTTTACAGGGTCTTGCAGTTTTCACCTCCCTTTATGGAGGACTCACACGTGAGCTTGCAGTCTTATTAAAACTTGATCCCAACTGATAGAAAGCATCATAAAATTTTTCGACTTACTTTACTAGCCGGTTGCATCCCAAAATTTTTGAGGCAAAATTAATGAAAATCGAAAATCCGGACCGCCTTGTAAAAAAAACATTTTTTGTGACACTCCACTAAAGTAACAAAATTTTTAGACCTAAGAAACCGTTTCTTCCAACAGAGTTTAAATTTGTCTGATTGTAGCACTGAAGCTTTCCTGTCAGCAAAGGACAGGTACTTCACACC